AGCTCCTGCTGATTCAATATTTAAGCAGAAAGAGGCACCACCTTAACCAGCCGAGCCATTTCATCAGGCCTTGGGCGAGCCAGAGGCCCTGCGGTTTTTCTCACCGCGCTCGGCGGGTGGCTGTGCAGCTCCGAGCGAACCCTTTGGAGAAGTGGGGGTGTTTTTTTTCAGCAGCAGTGAGCACGATGCTAGGCATGGAAATGGGAACTGCGCTTTCAACATCCATCCCCAGCCAAAAAGAGTGTCTGGGTGCCTTCACGCACCCATGATTGCCGTGGCTGGGCTGTAGTTCCCTCCCCTGTGCCACCAAACCTCCTTCCCTCTTCTTCAGAGCATGTGGTTTCCATCCGGGAGGAGATGGAGCTGGGCAGTAAACGAGGCGGGAGGTGGCAGGGATGTGGAGAAAGAGGTTTGGGAGTAAAGAAGAGGCTGATGGTGAAGAAGGGAGAAAGGGTGGGAGGAATGCGGAGAAAGAGGGGGAATTAGACAGGGGTGAGACCACAGAAAACATCTGGGGGCATCACACTGCTGGCGCTCAGGCCAACCATTTTGTCTTTGGCAGGTGCCCACGAGCTCGTCAGGATGGAGAGGTGAGGAAACCCACGTGCTTCCAGCTCCCCCCCGACCTCCTCGCACCCCCCCTTCCCGCATCCTGGCCCCCACAAGGGTCTCGTTCTCCTCTCCCCTCCCCTGGAAGCCAGCGTGCATCCTCAGCCTGACAGAGCGAAGGGAATGTTGGTGGCACCCACGCCCAGAGTCCTGTCCCTTTCCGGACATCCGTTGTTTCTCTTCCCTCCCTCTGAGTAGGAAGTGCCTCCTTTCTTTTTGACTCTGCCAAGGTTCTCATATCTCCCCACACCCCAGGAGAGCTGGAAACCACAGTGCCTTTCGGCTAAGCGTTCCCCTCCTCGTGCTGGGCTCCCCGCTTGCTCTCAACCGAGGTGCCACCACCTGAACCTGCTCCCTGCCCTGCTCAGTTGTTCCCAGCACTCACCCAAAACCCCCGGGGGATAAAAAAGGCTCCTGAAATAAAATGGCAAATCCTCTTCTCCCACAGCAGCGCCCAGGGCATCGAAAACCCTGTCTTCGAGGCGATCCCCTCGGCAAGCACGGAGCTGCGGCCCCGACCCCAGCTCTCCTACATGGCCAGCCGGCAGCCCTCCGAGTCTGGCCGGCACCTGCTCTCCGAGCCCGGCACCCCCCTGTCCCCCCCCGGTCCCGGGGACTGCTTCTTCCCAACGCTGGGTGAGCGACCGGCGATGCTGAGCCCCCATGGGGACCACAGTGGGAGGGGTGGGATGGAAAGAGGGAGCTGGGGGGTGAATGGTAAAGGGGGTGGGGTTAACTATCAGCTGCAAACTTTGCATTATGTGGGACATGGAGTCCCAGGGCTTTTCCAATAGGAAGGACTCAAGGCTTCTCCTTCCAGAGCTGTTAGCGAAAGCAGAATTTAGCTGCTTTCCAAGCACATCCACGCAGCTGCAAGCCAGACTAACACCCCTGGTCTGTCCTTTTCCAGATCCTGTTCCCGACTCACCGAATTCCTTGAAAGCCTAAAGATCCCAGAGGAAACCACATCCCCCAGCCGCAGCCGGGAGAGGTCAGGCAGGCCCCGCGCGATGCTCTCCCAGCTGGGAGCCCCGGTGGGGTGGCACAGCCACAGGCAGCAAAGGGGGGTGCAGGAGACCTGCCCTCGGCTCCTCTCTTGGAAGCGAACCTCTCTTGTTTGGATTTGGATTTTGGTCTTCCCCACCTAGTGCTATGGAGAAGAGCACGGCTCCGTACTGCCCACGTCTTACGCGCTAGCTGAAAGCTGTGGGCACGGGGAAGGAAGGACAACCTGCACCTGCAAACCTCCCCCAGGATTTAACTTATTGCCAGGGGTTTCAGCTCTGCAACATCAACCTGTTTCTGCATCTTTGACCGAACATCCTCTATGGAAGCGGACGGTAAAGTACTTTATCCATGGCGAGACAAAGCAGGGTCACCAGCCAACCTGCTTCCACCTTTTTCTTTGCAAAACAGGAAGGGCAGAGGCTCCCCCCGGAGCCCTCCTTCCCCACCAGCCTTTGGAGACGGCCACGGACTTGCGAGGCTGCCGCGTTTTCAGCTGGACACAAGTCGGGAAGAGCCTTATTTCTGCTGCAATTTTATCCTCGGCTTGGGATCAAGGGAATTTATCTTTCTGTTTGTTTCATTATCAGTGCTGATTAAAAGAAAAAAAGGATGTTTACATTTTTTGAATGGGTTGGTTTTTTTTTAATGCCTGTAAATTAGAAAGTTCGTCTGAAGGGTGTTGGAGGATTTTCCTGTGACATGGTCAAAGTGGAGAGGCAGAGGCACGGGAGCAAGCAGCAGGCACTGGGAAATGCTCTGGCTGCCTTCTCCCATCCTCCCAGGGCCAGCACAGCCCGAGCAGCTGTCCCTGGGGTTGCACATCACACCCCGCTACGATGGCCCAGGGGACATGGGTGCCCTCACAGCATCCTCCGACCGACCGCAGCACCCCGGCACCGCTTATCCAAGACGCTGTTACTCAAGAGTGTGTTTGTTTCTTTTCTCTTGTGTCTGTTTCTGTTGTAAAGAAAGGGAAAAAAACCCTGCCACTAGACAAACATAAATATTAGTCATATCAAAACAAGCGTCAGACCTGAGCAGCGTGCCTGGGCAGAGCATCCCGCTAGCATGCCCGATTCTCACGCTACGTGGCTGCAGGAAACACCGTTGGCCTCTGCAACGGGCATGGTACATCGGGACACCCCGGCCCGCTCCAGGGTTTGGTTAATCCAGCGTTGGTCTCAGCAAAAGCAACTTTAAGATGTTCCGGTTGCAGGCGGAGGGATAAAGGAGAAGCCAGCACCAACGCCCCCGCTGCGGACGTAACTTCCTGAGCACGGGACTCGGCGCTTTATTGCCACCCACGGCTCGGCTCCTTTCCCAGCTTTGCTGGGAAAACTCGCCCAGATTCTCTCTCCCCATCCCAGAAGCCAGGAAGGCACGGGGGTGGATTTGCCTGTCTGCAGGTCCTAAATGCTTTGAAATCCTCTCGGAGTCCCTCCGTTTGCTAACGAACGCACTGCCTGATGACAGAATAAAGTTTTGTTGGAAAGAGGTTTCTCTCTTTGCTGCAGGAATCCCCTTTTTCGGGATACCCCATGCCGCAGGCTGCGGGGCTCCTCTGGCACAGTACTGCACATCCAGGCAGGATGCTTATGGGGAAGGTGACCCAGCAAGATGCTTGCATCCTCTCCAAGACCTTGCCAAGTCCCACCGGCTCTTGCAAGCACCTGGCTTGGGAACGCACATGGAGCTGGCACCCACTGCTGGCTGTTTTCCGCTGCATCAGCACTGGGGGCTTCGCTGATGGGGAGAGCGAGGAGCCGCCGTGAAGCGTCACCTGAACTTTTGTTTCGGAGCGGGCGGATGAGAACGTAAAAGTGCTGAGGCTGAAGCAAGCCCTGGCCAGGGCCGGCTGTGAGATAGGCACCTGGGCAGCGATCTGGGCTTGGCCGATCCACCCTGCCTCACTACAGCTGCCAGTGCCTGGGTCTGCGGGTGCCAGGAGGAGCCCTACTCCGGCACACGCGGGTGCCAGGCAGACGTCCTTTTTTCTGCTGCGGGAATCATCCCAAAGACTCTGGAGCAGGGCCAGCCCTTGGGGAGGTGCAGCTGCAGCTTTGCACCAGGGTCAGCCCGAGCCCGGGTGACTGGCAATTCCCACGCAAGGACACCAAGGTTTTACAGTTGCAGCCCACCGGCTTGTGAAAGGTTTTCTTTCCTGCGATGCTTTTTTTGGGTAAACACTCTCCTTTTATCATTGGCATTTTACATTTTGGCCCCTGCATTTCCAGCTCCCGAGTGGACGGCCAGTGTCCGTTCACCCCTGCCATCCCGGGTATTGTAGACCACCGCGGGACCTCCGAGCCCTCTCCCAGCTCTGTTTCTTCTGCCTCTGCCACACTCAGCACGTGAAGGGACGTACGAATTACTAACAGCGATTCCCTTTTGTCCACCTGTTGCATCAGCCTCCACTGACTTGCGAAACCGACAGTTCTGGTGGGTGACAAACTCCTGACAGACATGGTTTCATCAGCCAGGCACGAGGCCGGCAGTCACCGAGGGACACGCAGGACAGCCTTTCACAAGACCTAAGCATCCCCAAGCTCCGAAAAGGGCCCAAACTCTTCTCTCTGCTCAGGAATCGGGTCATCGGGCGCTTTGTTCGGCTTCAGCGCAGCGGGATTTCAAGTGTTGCTGCTGGCACGACTTGCGCCAGTGACGTGGTGGTCACCCAGCAGAAACCCTGAGGACAAGTGAGGCCGCTGGGACACCGCTTTGGCAGCGTGAAGCCATAAGCTGTGTCACTTGTCCTCTCCGGCACCAGGAAGGGAAGAGGGCATTGCCATTGCAATTGGATTTGCTGGCTGGGCACACAGTGATGCTCCTGGGGCAATGGGGACGAGGAGGAGCTGGGAGTATCAGGTGCTGTCGTTGCATGAAGCTGTCTTCTCTTGTTTTGGGGGAAGAGGCTTGCCTAGATTTAAGCCACAGAGGCAGCAGGGCTTAAGAAAACGATGATGATGCTCAGTGAGCTGCCTGGGAGAGAGGGAGGAGGCAAGAGTGCAGAGCCTGAAGCGAGAGTTACAAGCCACAGTTCGCACTGCTGGTTGCAACCCGTTTCCTCCAAATGTAGAGCAGGGCTTTGCAGCGAGACCCGTGCCAGGAGATCAGAGAGATAGCAAGAGATAGCAGGTGGAGGTGGGGGAGAGGAAGGATGGCAGGGTGTCAGGCAGGGTGTCACACCTCCCTGTCTCATGATCCGGGCTTGCTTTGTGTGCTCACTCGTCTCCGTAGAACCGTGGGGTCTGGAGGGACTTGGGGCTGCAAAATGCCCCAAATCACGGAATCATCGAATGGTTAGGGTTGGAAGGGACCTTAAAGATCATCTAGTTCCAACCCCTCTGCCAAAGGGGAGGTTGCTCTTTCGACTCTCCCATGCTAGAGTCCTCCTTAAAGGCACAAATAACGAGACGTGTTATCCATGGAGAGGGGAAGGTGCGAGGGAGAGAAGCCAGGCTGCAGCAAATGCAGTTACCCACTGGGCAACTCCTGCAGGCTGGTGGCTACAAAGCAAGTTGGCCACCTCCCCAGACCGAAGGATGACGGACAGGGTCTCGTATCAGCCCCCAAACGCATGCTCAGACCCCACTCAACGCAGGCACGACACTCCGGACGGCAGCAACCTGGCTAATGAGCTGCCCAAACCTCACATGGCATGGACCTGTAGCACTAATTACTGGAGCTCATCTCGTTTGTGGGCACCAGAGGCAGACATCCATGGGTTTGCAGAGAGCAGAATTGTGGTTCGGCTGATGCTCCATGCACCAGCCCGCCCTGAGATTGGCCAGACCAATGTCCCAAGACCTTTCAGACTCACAGCACAAGGAGCCAGCGAGCAGGACAACTCCTGCAGCCGGCAGCACACTTGCCCGTTGGGATGCTCTTGATATTTCTAGCCTTTATGGATGGGAGAGAAACAGCTCAACGCTTCTGCTAAAACCCCTTCAGAGCTGAAGCAGCAGGATGGAAAGCATCTCGCATGAACGACTGCAAGAGAGGGTTCCACAGGACCAGGTGCCAAAGGAGGCTCTGATCCATACCAGCACATTTGGACCCTGAGACATAACCCAAATGGCCCGGCCACCCAAACTGTGGGTGCCTGCTCCCCATCTTCCCTGCTCGACGTCTCAACGCTAAGCCCACAACCATAGTGCTGCCCACCTCCATCCTCCCCCAAAAAGCACGTGCTGGTGGCTCACCGACAAAGAGGGGTTGCCCTCGTCCTCGACGGTGACCACCAGGCTGTAGAAGCTCTGCCGCTCGCGGTCCGGTGGGGAGGGCCGGGTGGCGATCTCGCCGGTGACGCGGTCCATGCGGAAGGTCAGGTCCTCATTCCCGTGGGTGATGTAGTAGGAGAGGACGCTGTTGAGGCCGATGTCCCGGTCGGTGGCACGGACCTGGATCACCGCCGTGCCACCGCCAACGTTCTGCAGGGCAAGACAGCGGGGTGAGTGGCAGAGGTACACGACGTAAACCGCACGTATCTCGTGATGTACAAAACTCATAGTTAATAACACAATTCTAATACAGAGCGGGGTTTTTCCAGGAATTGCAGTGCTTTAGGCTCCAAACTTGCTGCTCTGATACCCAGCAGTCAAGCAGGAGGCTCTCTCCTTTACCAGCTTCTGGATGCCGGTTTTGCAGTGCTTTGTTGTGGATGCCCCAGCCCTGGAAGCGTTCAAGGCCAGGTTGGATGAGGCGTTGAGCAACCTGATCTAGTGGAAGGTGTCCCTTCACTGCCCACCATGGCAGGAGGGTTGGAGCTAGATGGTCTTCGAGGTCCCTTCCAACTCAAACCATTCTATGACTCTATGATTCTTGCAAACAGTTCACCTTCGTGCAAAAACTCAAGCGAGGCTACTCGCCTCGCCGCTGACAGCTCAGCTGGGGATCCACCACAGGCCGAGCGCTCCACTCTTTTTCGGTTCGAAACTCTG